AGAACTACTTTGTATAGTCAGTCGAAGTCATGTTGTATAGTTTGTTCTTTTTTCTCCTTTTCTTTGTTTTCAGTATCTGGTTTGTCTATTATAGTAATTGTTTTGAGATATTTACAGATTTTATTAGTATATGTAAGGATATGGTGATTTGAGAATGAGTTTCTTTTGTTTGGCATTCATATTAAGAGTTAGGTTTTTCTATTTCATATTTTTCAGATAAAAGTTTAGCTAGATGAAGAATAAAATATTGTTTAATTTAGTATTTAAGATAGGTAAAAGTTTTTTGTCTATCAATAGAGTTATCGAATTGTTGAGAGTATGCTAGAAAAATTTTTTTGAACTATTTGCTAAGGTTGTCAACAGAGTTTTTTAGTGAAGGAATATTAAAGTTATCAAAGAAAAGAGTTTTGGGGAGATTGAATAGTATATTTATATTAAATCTTAGATCTAAAGAGATGGTGAAATATTCTTTTTCTTGGTCAAAACATTCAATTTTGAAGTCAATTTTAAACTTTTTTGGTCTGAGTTTAAAGTCTTCATTGTATTTTTTGTAGTTAATAGATTGGAAGTTGTTAGTTAAGTAAAGATGAAGTCATACTATGTTTAAACAAATTTGAAGACAGTTTTGGATTTTGTGTAGGAAAATGATAATAGGAGATACAAAAATCTCTTCATAATTTATTTTAGTAAATAAAATAGTAGTAAATTTTAGTAATAGGTTCTTTAAAGTTAATTCGATAAGGTTAAAATGAATTGTTGCCTTTAGGTTAATATCAGGATTTGCTTAGTAAATAAGTTCTATTAGAATCTTAGGCCTTTAGCTGGCTATAGTACGAATAAAATATTTGAATGATGTTTGTCCAGAGGTAAAGTTAGAAAGGTTTTCTTTGAGAAAGTTGAAGAGTTGAAATGATAACTTGGTTTGGAGTTTGGTATTAGGTTTCATTTCTTCTATAATTGGGAAGTTGGCAAGCTAGTCATATACTAGGTTTGGTTTAGGTTTGCTAGTTTTGGTATAGGGTTTTAGTAGGTCTTTAGACAAAGCATATGCATAGATTAGAGTTTTGTTTTGTATAGTTTGAATTGGTATATTATTAGCATTATTCATTTTTAGAATTTGTGTTTTGGGTGAGTCTATTTCTATGCTATTTGAGTTTATTAGTGAGGTTTAGTTTTCAGTTTGTTTATCTTTTGCTAAAGGAAAAAATTCAATTTCTATATTTGATGAAATTTCTTTTGTAACTGTAGTAAATAGTATTTAGTTGAGGGATATTAGTTTTAGTTGTTGGTTTGAGAGGAGTTAACAAGAGAAAAAGTAGGTTTTGAAGTTGTTGCTGCTTTTAGAAAGTAGAAGTTAGATCTTTTCTAGTTGAAGAAAAATCATAAATTGCTGAAGATATAGAGCTAAGATTAGTAGAAGAAGAAGAGTTAGTAGCATTGTTAGAAAAACAGGTATAATAATATACTTCATTTTCATAAAATATAGTATTATTAGCTAGTTTGTAGGTATTGTTAGTAAGTTTGCATTTGATAACAAGCTAGCATTTTGAGCAGGTGTGTTAGCAGAGGATTAGTGTAAGAGATAGTGGAATGCTTTTCATGATTTCTTCTAAATTCTGAAGAAAGACCTTAGTTTTATTGTTATTCGAGTTTGCAGTAAGAGTAATGAAGCTAGAAATAGTGATATTGTATTTGATGTTGTTTGTAGAGATAAAGTTAGTATGATAAGTGCTACATAGGAATTGAGTAATAGCAGAAGTTTTAGAAGCAAGAAGAAAATGCATAGCTTTAGTGTTACTTTGAAGAGTTTTGGTAAAGCAAATAATTAGTTTGCTTTTAGGTAGGATTAGTATAATATTTTTTGAGTAGAAATAATATAATTATGTTATTTCTACTTAATTTAGATTATATCTGATAACAGAATCATATACCTGTTATTATTCGAGTGATGAATAATTCACACTTGTATCATCAGAGATATATTAGTATTTACTCTATCATACAAGTGATGAATAATTCGTGCTTGCATTATCAGATATATTAGTATTTGCTCTATCATATGAGTGATGAATGATTCATGCTTGTATTGTCAGATATATTAGTATTCGCTCTATTATTCGAGTAATGAATGATTGATACTTGCATTATCATTTGAGTGATGAACTATTCTCACTTATATTATCAGATGATACATATATAATAAATATTATCAGAAATACTATCAAATTTACATTGCATAATTACTATCAATTAATACTATCTAATTACAATCAAGTATGCTATATATATGCTATCTGGTTATGCTGTTTGGTTATGCTATCAGATTATATTATCAAAAAATGTTATCAGTTTATATTATCAATTTACTTTGCCTATAGTTAACCTCAGTTTGTTAGCAGTTATTAGCTTCATATAATTCATTTGAATATCACCTGATAATAAGACATATAGTGTCAAACTGTTAGCAATTGTTAGCTTCATATAATGCATTCAAATATCAGTTAAGGATGAGGCATATTGTGCTAACAGTTAATAGTTGTTAGCTTTACATAATTTATTCAAATATTACCTGAGAATGAGGTATATAGTGCTGAATTGCTATTCTCACTTAGTAATACTTAAAGCATTGTAATAAGTATATCTAAATTCTATTTTTATTTAACATGAAGATAGGATATTAGATATAAAGATAGTATGGTAGATCTGGTGATCTTAGTGTAGTGATTAGGTTGCCAGACCACTATGCAAGAGGTCTGGGGTTCAAATCCCATTCTCGATGAACTTGAATAATTACTCGAAAATTTGTACCCAACTTACAGTAAACCCTGTTTGTTTCTGAGGTTGTAACCCTGTAAATCACGTTGCACCAATATCATCCAGATATTGGAAGTGTAACGAGGCATTTGGCGAAACATAACATTACACTAATAAATCTTAATAGGATCTACGAGCAGGGGACCTGCATGGTAGAAATCCTGAGTTGGTGAAGTAGTATGGCCTTCGACGGTCACACTGGCTAACACTTGATCCAGAAAAGAAACTATCAACGAAAGATGCAGATTGAGTTGGGTGCGTATAAATCCATTCTACAGGGAGGATCGGTAACACTAACCTGGCTTGGTAGCTAACTGAATTGGGAGGATCTGCCTTATGAAACATCCGAGAAGATAGATACAAAAAACTGGTAGAGAGCCACAGTAGGAACTAGGGTTATATGAACATCCACAAGGGTCTAAGCTAGGTGAATTCGTAAAATGGGTATGGACTACTCTAGTAGGTATGCTTCGAGGTTAACTGGCTCTGCGATACCTACAATGCATTAGGTACAATGTATCCCGAGAGGACCTAAGCTGTTCTGAATAAATAGATCCATAACGAGCTAGCTGGCTTAAGCGGTTAGGTGTTGCAGTGACGTTAGATTGGATCTGTATGGGTTAATGATCAGAGTGTTTAAATAGGTAACTCATAGGTGGGTTACAGGTATGTCAGCATAGTGTAGAACCAATCAGATAGTCTAATCACCTGTGCGGTAGACTACTTAAATAGACAATGACTAAAGTTGTACGTATGGCTTGTTATATACTCTTTATGTAATTACAAACAGTAGGGACTATCAATAGATATCCTGTATGCAATTCTAATAAAATTCCTTCGGCAATATAAGCTGCCTTAATAACAAAAAAAAAAAAAAATAAAGATAGTAAGGTATAATGGATATAGATATAAAAAAATCTTAATGTAGTTGGGATAGCAAGGTTATAGCAATTTTATTACTTTTGGCTTGTTTAAACTACTTCTCAGATAATGAAAAAAATATATAACCTTGCTGTCCCAAAAATTTAGCTGTACTTGTGTAGATTGCTATTCCATTATACTGCAGGTTACTGTTTCAAAAATTTAGCCATATCTGTGCGAATTGCTAACTCATTATATCTATATATTTTACTATCTTGTTATATCTATGCACTTTGCTGTCCTGCTTGTATCTCAATTAAAATTATATAACACAAAAACCTCTTTGTATAAAATGTCTAGCACAGGTTGTTATCCTAAATCATACGACACAAAAACCTCTTATATGATTCAAGTATCAGAATATTAATTTTTTATTTGAATTTTTTCTTATATTAATTGTAAGAGGTAACAAAAATTTCTTTATCCAAAATATATAGCTAGATATACTCCTAGCTAGAGTATTCTAATCATGTTATTTTAAAATAGCAATTATACATATTCAATAATTGCTAAAGATTTATTTTTCAACTCTTTTTTATGCAGAGTAATAGGAACTTTTATTTTAGCCTTAAAGTTTTGTTTATATTCCAAAAAAAGTGACCTCATTTATACTCTTACACTCTTTTTTCTAATAATTTTTTTATCTTATATTTCAAAGGCAATCTTAGTTCACTATTGCTCTAATTTTTCTTTTAATATTTGGAATTTTTGCTATAAAAGAAGGATAAGGGCATTGATATCAGAATCATTTTTAATAAGAAACTCTGAAGGTAAAGAAATCAAAGGTTTAGATATATTTTTTCTCTATTATGCTAACTTCACCAATAGTATTATCGATAATATAGCATATATCTTGAGAAGAATTAAGATCTGATTTTTGGGGATCTGCAATTTCATTATTGCTTAAACAAGCATCGAGAAGAATTATTTTAGATTTCTATTTATTTTAAGTTTTAAGTTTGTAAATTGATTTCTACAATCTTTTTCTAGATAAAATAATATTCTAAATTCCTTTAGTGGTTTAAAAAGAAATTCAATAAAATACTTTAGATTATAGTTAACATGCAGTCTCTATTTTTTTCAAATATTGCATAGTAATGACACTTATTTTTCTTATAAATTGGTAGGAAGTTCAGTAAATTAATATCAAGATCTTGATTTGATAAAGTATAAGATATATAAATACTCAAAGAAAAATCAATTCCTTATAAAATCTCCTCTAAGGCAATAACTTTTAGTAATAATGAATCACAAGAAGCCTTCTCTCATGAGTCTCCAATAACTATAAATCTATAATTCTCATGTAAGTCATCAAGAAGATTTACAGCTTGAACTAATGTACTATACACATTTTGCATCTCTTTTTGAGAATATTTTTCTACAAAATCTTTAGTTATATCTTCAGAGGTCTTTTTATAAAAAGATACTAGATTGTATTTCTATAAAGAAAGTCTCTAGGCTGGGTTTATATCCTCTTCTCTTTCTAAATATTCTTGAATATCTGAAGCTTTGATATCACTCAAAACTAGAGTATTAGCAATTATTGAATACTTTTCTGTATTTAGAACTTTTTTAATTGAATATATATTTAAAAGCAATTCTTTGCCTTCATTATTTTCTG